CAGATTTCATGATGGACTTGTAGAAATGTCACGATTGTTTATCCTTTGCTAAAGCCAACTCTTAACCTATGAGCATACAAGGGAAGCTTATCTTCTATGTGAATAAGCAGGAGGAGAAAGAATTCTGTGAACTCCATAATTAGCAAATCTATTTTAATTTCAAAGTGATCTGCTAGTATGTCTAACAACCTTGACACATATGTCTAAATCCAATATTGTTGTTCAGGGGAGAGATTTATCACATTACACTTGTTCCCAGATTTCCACTTATTTGAAATTGGTTCTGCTGACTGCTGCTGCCACCGATGCTTCCAACTGTTGCGCAGCAGGGCTGTTTCCAAGAAGCTGAAGTGAACAGTGGGTTTAGCTGCAGTACATGGTTTGTGACTCCCAGTCAGTGTATGCAGAGGGTTCTTACGTACTCTGTGGTAAAGATAAGCAGTCTGTTATAGAGCGTGGTATCCTTGCAAGATCTTTGGATTGCTCCTGATATTGTTAATGGGCAGTCATAGTCTGCCTTTGGATATGCAAATCTGAAGCAGAATCTCACACTGCTTTCGACAGGATGTATGTCCATACATTTAAAGAAAGAATCAGTCTTCGTATTTTCCTGGGCTTCAGCTCTTTGACTCAATAGGATTACGATCTGTCAGTGCTAGAGTTAAGACAGTGTTACGTAGTTCTCATACTACCACCCTACTCAGAGGATCTATCTAAAATTGTTACCTTCTTGCTCATCATTTCCGTTGTGTCTGTAATCCTGTAATTACAGGTCAGGGCTGCTTCTTCCAGGGCAGAGATAAATTTCTGTTGCTGCTTATTCCTCATAGCTTTGCAGAGCCACTGCAAAATGGGGATTGGATTCTGTCCAACTCCATGTATCATTAGCATTGCTCTCCTGTCTTTCTGTGCTGTTTTTTTCTTTGCTGGTGATGTCAGAACTGTTTCAGTTGCTATTTTGAATTTCAAATCCCACTTAAACTTATTAGAAAAGCAAAATACGGGATTTAAAAAAACTGTTCCCTGCGTAGCACTGAAATATAGGAACTATTAGCTCTGCTGGGGTAGTATTTATTACAGGTATTATTTTCTGCATCACTTTAAGTTTGGAAATGTTATAAAAAAAGTTCTTTATGGCTTTCAACTTTGGCCTGTGAAAGCAGCAGTGACAATTTCCAGTTCTTATTTAAATCATAGAACGTCCCCAAAAGTTTGGACACCAGGGCAGATTTTCAGTTTTCTCAGAAATAATAGCTTATCTGAAATATTTTGAATTATTGACAGCAAATTTTACTTTCCCTGCAAGTGTGTTGTGGTGCAGGTTTCTTTTCACTCTAGCTATGCCTGTTTTGACACGTGAAGTTTTCTTAGGTTCACTTCATAAGACTTCACTTAGTCAGTTTAGTGCTTTGGGGTTTGCTTTTTTTCTCCCTCTTTTGTGTTCCATAATCAGTCTACACTCAAAATATAGATCAAAAAAGGGGAAGCTGAAGACTGGTTTGCATTGTTAGGAATCATAAAATAAAATATCACAAGGTTTCTCTTTTTTTTACCAGCAGATGAAAAGATTAGTCTATGAGACAGTTCTGTAATGTGTTTCAGTTCATACAGTGTTTCTCTGAGAGCACTGTTATCCTGTTATCATCCCTAATGGCTGTAAAGCTTTGAGTCATAGTATTGTTTTTTTAAAAGCTTTCACTTTTTCATTGTTTGTTCTCAAGGTTACATTATGTAAAATACAATGTTATATTTTGTGCACTAGTCCAGGCTGTATTTTTAATCCTTTTATGAAATTTGAAATAGCTCTGCTCTGGGGAAGAGGCTTTATGCCTGTTCCAAGTATTCCTAACTGCTATAATGAACTGTTGTTTCTTCCTCTGTCTGGAAAGGTATAGGTCATGTGTCTTGACTTTAAAAGTATTCTAAGCTGGCAATTTTTGCATGCTCTTGCACAGGTAATTTGGTTTAGCTGTTCACCATGAATTGCAAACCACTAATAATTATCAGAAAGTATTGTTTAAATAATTTTGAAGATGAAAGAGAACTTTTTCTACTTTACTGTAAATGTGAGAAAAGTCAGGGTAAAAATATGAAGGAAGTACAAAGAGAGGAAAGGACAGACTTATTTTATTTCAACAGATTTGCATTATGGATAAGAATGAACAAGCGAGTTGAATTAAATACATTATTCAAAATGGCTGGTTTGGCTTGACTTAAACTCTGCTCTGCCAATCATTCCTGTGCCACTTTTTTCTTTACTTTCTTTTGATGAAGTAAGGCACTGTGCCTTTTAATGATTTGATAATGTTCCCTACAGAGCTTTTATCCTAGCTGGCCTGCAGCCTTTGGCCCCTTTTGTGGTATTTGTTGCACCCAAAATCCTACTGAAGATATGTCAGAACTGTGAGTGCTCAGCTCTACCATCAGTATGAACAGACACTTTGCTGAGCATGTGCTTTTTTTTTTTTTTTTTTGTGCCATGTGTGGTTTTGTCTCTGTTAAAGCCCCTCTGGTCTGGTAGACTCAGGAAGAATCTGTTCAGTGCAGAGAAAGGTATTAGGAAACTTAGTAGTCAACCAGGTTAGTATTTACCACAATTCTTTTGTGCACTTAAGCCTTGGCTGTAAATCTATGCTCCTACCTTTTCCTCGGTGAACTACTGAAACTCTTCTAAAACTCATGACTATAAAATACACATAGATATGGAAATACTGAGGATATTAAACAAAACAAAGCAACAAACCTCCCCACCAAAACAACCCAACCAAATAAAAAACATGAGCTGTAATTTTTTCTGGTCTCACTCTACCTTTCCTGAAGTTTTCCTGAAGTTTTCCCTGAAATAATCAACCTTACATTGATACTGGAACAGGGCAATTTCTTTTTTTTTTTTTTTTTTTTTTTTTTTTCCCCCTCCAAATTTTAAAATAAGGAACCAAGTGTCAACTGCCAAGAGTTTTTTTAACTATGTATGTTGCTGCTTTCTCCATTTGCATTTGCTATCAACAAACATACATTCCACAGCCGTCTGGTTTTCTTAAAATTTGGAAGACTTCCATTGAGGAGAGCAAAAGGATTCTTTTCCTCTTCTTTTGTCCACTCTGGGAAGCTTTCTTTTGAAACCTCTGTGGTGATCCACACTGATTGAAAACAGTATCTTTTCAAAAGCAATTCTGTGAATACCCATGTACTTAGTGCCAAAAGGTGTTCCTTTTGTCTGAGAGCCCAATACATATGAATGGTTGCAATGTAAAATTAAGGGATCTTGTCTAGACTGAAAAGAAAGAGGTAGGACTTACTAAGTGTTTATAGGAATAACTTGCCCCTATTTTGTTCTCTTTTCTGTGAAGAAATTTACAGGGATCTTTTGCTGGAAATGACAGTAAACCATTGTTAGATAGGCCAGTAAGGATACCAATGGAAAGATTGTATAGCTTCAACGTTTCTGAAGTGCCTGCAGAAAGGATTGCTGGAGTCAATTTTGAGTGAATTTTGAGCCTCACTCAGGCAACTATAATTTTCTGCTTCTAATGAACTCTTATTAGGTGTTTAAAGAGAAAGAATGAGGTCCATCAAATGAAAGAGTTCTCCATCTTGTTGTCTGATCAAAGAATGTAAAAGAAGTTTTTTAAAGTTATTGAACATTCTTAATGTCTACTGTGAAAGGCCAGTAACCCTCATGCAGGGTGACAGGATTTTGAGAAGAAAACTCTTGGTCACCCAGTCTCTCATGAATGCCCTGGAAATATGCAGCTGCTGATCCTGCCAGGTGACGTGATGTCTGCGTCTGCTGCAGTCCCTCCATCTATCCACCTGGGTCCCATTTTGGAGGCACACCCGCATCATCTTGGGTTTTATGGTTTGAGCTAAATCATTTGGTCAACCTTCAGCTCAAAGAGCCTATACAGTGGGCTGGTGTGCAATGCTTTTTTTTTTTTTTTTTACTGGTGTGGAAGCAGATTCCCCAGATGCAGTCGGACAGTCAGCTGTACTGAACACACAGGAGAAAATCCTTGTTAGTCTGAGGAGTCTGTATAAATCGCCAGGCTCTAGCAGCTGTAGAAGGGCTCTTATCAAGTAGAGGGGGAGAGAAGAAGAGCTAGCAGCCTCTCCGTTTATGCACTAAATCCACACCTAGTCCTATGTGGAGTATGTGCAGAATGTACTATTTTGACTGTTGGCAGATTCCAAATTGTAATATTTTCTAATTACAACGAGTATATAGCATGCTCCCAGGAGTAGAAAAAAAAAAGATTAAGAATTGATTTTTGTCTACATATTAAGACGACTTGACGGGAATACAGTTAATAAAATGCTGCTGAGAATCGTGCCTTAGTTCATATTCAGCTCGGGGTCATATTCCTCTGTGAGGTTTATCAGCAAAAGATTTATTGACAGTACAGATGTTTCTCTCAACATCTGAAAGATGCATGTTAATGTTAGTAGGTTTGGTGAAATCTGAGGGCACAAATACGGTTTTGTGAAAATGTTCCTGAAAATGTTTTCTTTCTAACATGAAGATGAAATAATGCTTCCTTTACAAAGCACTATTGAACAGAAGAAAGAAGAATTAAGTTTCATGAAGGGATTAGGGTATTAACCCAGGATGTGAAGTCTGTATCTTTCTCTGTTCCTCTTTAGGTTTCCTCTGTCACCTTTCTTTGAGCCTTTCCTTTTTGGTTTGAAGTCCTCCACTATAAAAAGAAAGAAATACTGCTATCCTAACTCATGCTTCATTTTGTCAGGATAAATTGGTTTATGATTATTAAAGCTTAAAGTACTGTGATAATGGTGTTGTAAAGGGGAAGCTCTCTGCTTGCCCACCAGACTGGCATAACCTTCTTGGAGCAACATTAGTTACAAGTAAGCAGCAGACATGGTATTTCAGTAAAAATAGGCGAGAGCATCAGTTATGTAGAAATATATTTTCTTTCAACTGTGTGCGATCAAGGAAAGATTGGAACAAGACATGTTAACAAGCTCTTCTGTTTCCTTCTTAGAATTACAACAACAGCTGCTTGTATGATGGACCTACGGAGATATCCGTTGGATGAGCAGAACTGTACTCTGGAGATTGAGAGCTGTAAGTACTTCTGCAAATCCTACTTATTCTGTGGTCAACTGATTCAGAGTTTTTATTTCTGTCTTTTTTTTTATCTTTTCTAACATGCTACTAACCTAGTTGTCTTTCTGTCTGATGACATTTAGATCCTTGTAAACACATGCAAAAAAATAGCTTTCCAGAGGGATTAGTAATTTGTGGCACCAGGATTAGCAAAAGTTATTCTGTGTTTTGATGGACAATTCACAGCTTTAAAAGTCTCATTCAAATGCCTTGTTGGAGTTCATGTGAGGAGCAGGAGGATTATTATCAGTTCTTTATCTTCCTTTATTGCTGAACTGTGTCGCAGCTTGTTTCCATTTATAAATGATGGCAAGAGGTTAGAATTGTCCATGAAATAGGTGTTTTGTGGGTTTTTTTTCCTAACCCCTGTGCTGTAGTTAAACTTTCAACACATGCAATGCAGTCTGTTGTATGCTGATTTAATAGCTATCGTACTTTCTATGTAGATAAAACTTGTGAAATAAAATTTCAAATCTCTCTTTTCACTGAATAATCTTAAGGGAATCTAAGCATGTCAATGAAAAAACAGCTCATGAACACTTTTATAAAGACAATATTGCAAGCATGCATTATTTGGTACTCTAAGATCACATCAGCACTTGCAAAATACATATCCTTTTTCAGTGGAACCATAGGTAATTCAGCTGGGCTGTATTATTAAGTTGGACGTGGCAAGCAAAATGGAAATTAATGGCATGTTTCAAGATACAGTACAGACAAGTATGTATATTTTTAAAGTAACATCTGTGTTATAAAAGATTATGTGGGATTTCTGTGTGCACTGAATGACAGTAGCTTGTGCTGCAGTCTGGTAAGAACTTGGTACAGCTGAGCTTTTCTCCTGTTCTAGAAAGCATTTAATAACATGCTTTAAATTTGTGTCCAGGTTTCATTCATTTTAGTGTAATTTAAAGATATGCCAAAATCACCTCCTGAATTAAACTTATGACACTGCTGTTTGAAATAATCTACGCACAAAAAATAAGCAAAATGAGTCTTTATCATTGAAGTTCACCCCTTCTGTATGCTGAAATACACAAGCAGCAAATGTGATCACGGACTTTGCTCTTTTCAGAATGGATAATATCTTGGTTGTCAGGGTTTTTTTTTTGGTTGTTGGTTTGTTTTTCTTTTTTCAGTTCATTATAGAATTTCTATTGATGGCATTTGATTCAAAATTTCATACCTGCAGCCTTTTACCAGTATAGTAGGCTGATTTTAATGTGCAATTGGTATAACTATTGGTATAACTGTATCAAGGTTTACAGAGATGTGTATTGAGAATGTGGCTTGCTGTGACGGTGTCTTTTAATTGTTGTAGCAAGGACCTGGAATTTTTCTTTTTTCCAATAGTGTGTATAAGGTGGAAGGCTTGGAGGGTCAGAAGACATTCTTCCTCTCTGTTTACAGTGTTGTTTAAACAGTCAACAAAGTCTTGCCATCTCTGCATTGCTGAGATGCCTGAATCTTCTTGGGGTTTATAAACTACATAACCCTTGCCTGTCATGCTTGCAGGACCCACTCTGGGAAATATTCCTAGGAAATACCTCATAGGTCAGTCCTTGCAAAACTGAAAATTATGTCCCTGAATTTCAGTGAGAGCACTTGTTCTTGTTCAGACTTAGAATGTGGGACCTTTAGATTGAAATTTGCCTTTCATCTGATTTGGAGAAGTTTGAAGCCAGATCAGTTATCTTTTAAGAAACAGTTCTGGAAAACAGCGTATTGAGTTGTTGAAATTGTTGTTCTGCTTGCTATGAAGAGCACGGTACTCATATCATAGAAAGGGTAGGAGTTTAATTTACCATGGTGGTTAGGATGCATACAGGAGAGCTCCTTTGTGGATCTATTAGCTCTGTTGCAGCATCACAAAAGTAAAATGGATTTAAGTCAGGATACTGTACATAGCTAGCCTGTCTTTCATTGCAGTAACAAAGGCCATTAAAGAATGTGGATGAAAGTAATATTCGAACTGTGTTCTGAAACACTTCCATGCTGCCTTAGAAAATTATTGCTTTTTATGTATGTCATTCTGTTCAGGTAAAAACCTAAGTCTGTCTAATCTTTATGAATTGCTTCAGACAAAAATGCTGGTAGGTAGATAGGTAGAGTGAATAAGATTGAAAGTGACTTTCTGAGTTGTTTAATGCAGGTACTCAAGTCATAATCACTTCTTTGAACTGGTCAAGCTGCCTCCTAAAAGGAGCTTGGTTTCTTGCCCTGCTGATCCTGTTGGATGCCTGTTTCACCACCGCTCTCTTGTGATGGTTAGAAATTCTCTCAATTCTACCCTGGCTATTTTCATGGCTATGAAGACATGAAATTATACTCACTGCTTGTGTCAGCCATCTTTTTTTAGTTCAGTGTCTTCCCCAGCCCTGCTGGGACCTTCATAATACATTTAAAGAAAGCGGTCATAGTTTCTCATAGGCTTCATTTCATGAAATAAAAAATGCCAATCCCTTTTAGCTTTCTCATACAAGCGTATGTTAAGGGAAATGCAGAACTAGCTAATGCTAGTTCTTCTTTAGGAATAACCAGTACCATAAACAGTATCCCAGATGAAATCTCTATCACACTATGGTATTAATACTGCCCTTTTTCCAAGAGCCACCTTTGCTTTTCTTCACAGCTACATAACTTTCACAGATAACAGTCTTTCCTGAAACAGTACAGCAAAGTCTTTCCCTTTCTCACTCATTTTCCAGCAGTGGGTTCTAGCTTTTGGTAGAATTTTTTTTGCGTGGTACTAAGAACATATGACTTGGCATTTCATAATACTGTTCACATAAATTAATGTTCTTAATATTGCTACAGCCTTCAAGGTTATCCAGTTCTTGTTATAGTTGTTCTGATCATCCTTTGTCTTAACAGTGCCTGCAGATTTTGTTTCATTAGAAATTTCATTAATGCACAAATACTAAAGATTATTAATGTCAAGAAGGAAGAGCTTTGCTTGTAAACATTCTCTGCACTGAGCATGATCTATTCTTTCAGTGCAGTACAATTTCCTACAGATCTTTTCTATATCTTTACTAATTGTCTCTTCTTAGACAGTCCTATATCAAATGTTTTAATAAAGTCCAGGTTAGATATACTTTGCTTAAAAAAGGAGTTATTGTCCAGTCAGATCGTTTCAGTTAAGTCATAATAGATTTTTATCTCATTTCTATACCTGTTAATGTCTCTAATGACCTTGCATTCCTTTTCCACTTTCCTCACCCCCCCTCCCAGTCCTGTTATTGATGCCAGAGCTGATAGGCGTCTTAGCTGCCTGGGTTACTCTTTTCCATGTGTCACTGTGTTTACTGAAATTTGGGGCCAATATAAAATTTTTGTTAATGTAGATTTGCATAAATCTAGATTAACTTTCAAATTAGAAATTATGGTGAAAAAGGGTTGTATGTAAAATATAAAAAATGAAATGAGGGAGGTGGTATCGTCTATTAAGGTAAGAGACAGCATTTTTCCTACTTCAGTTGAAGGCAGTGTTACTGAGATTAGATGCTGAAATTGTCAGAGAGGACTATTCCCTGTTAGTTCAAAAATTATCAGTTTTGAAAACCAAAATGCTATTTTTTCAGGTGTAGCTAGTTACATCTCTGATCACTTTTTGCTTAGCTCATCTTTAAAGGGCAGAAAGATGTTGAGTGTTTGGTTTTCTGTGATGCTTCTAAACCTGTATGCCATATTTTTCAAGGGGGTCTTATCTGAGCTCTTCTACTTTTCCCTTTCTTTTGTTATTTCCCAACACACTGAATAGCATGATTATAATACCAGAGGGAAATCAGTTTTCCTGTGTATTCATTTCTTAGTTTCCCAACTCACACACAACAGAGAGGTTTTTCCTTTTTGGTTGAATATTAACTTGATTCAGTAAAATACACTTCCTCTCTCCTCCCTGTCTCTGCCACTGCAGTGTGCATGGCTGAGTTTCTGAAGATGCTCTAGAATAATTTTGTCTCTCTGCTGTTTCCCGCCTCTCTGGAGTTGGAACTGTTGAAAGGAATGTCTTAGCCAATCAACCATGAAACTACTGGGAGCTCAAAGGCAAAAAGTAGTACAAGGGAGTTTGAAGAATACTTCATATTCATATAAACAAATTAAATATATTGCACATCCTCTAGCATAACAGAGAGAAATGATTGTGATTCTTCTGAATATTTTTAAATGCAATCATTAAAGATTCACCTGGACCTTTGTCCATTTCAATTATGTGGTGCCACATAAAGACAAAAATTCACTTCAATTCCATCTTATTTCATAATGTGTTTGTCATATCTGTATTTATGTTATAGTGAGGTATAATTCAGAAATGCCTGCCTTGTGACAGTGTTGGGTTTTTTTTTTTTCTTCGTTTCTTTGTTGCTGTGGAACAAACAAGAATGCACTGAGTTTCTCCTTAGAAGCAAAGTCTCAGAAACATTTTCCATAGTGTATTAAAGATGTGGCATTTAAAAAAGCACATTAAAGCCCTGCCGTCTGAAGCCTTAGCAAACAGGGAGCTTGCCACTCAGATGTACTGACCAGGGAAAAAGGGCAGAGTCAGAACAGCACGCACAGATGAGAAGGAAGGACTGCTTTGCTGACGAATGAGAAATAATTGTTTTCAGGATATTTCATTTATATAACAGCCTGGAGTGTTTGGGTCAGAAATCATTGGATTTTTTTTTTTCTGTTTCATGACAAAAAGGCTACAGAAGCACATTAAGATAAGTTAAAAACTTCCATTCAATAACAGAATCTAGAAAAAGCCAGAAAGAACAGAGACGAAAGAACATCATTCCTCCCTGTGGCAGTGCAGCCCAGTATCAAACACTTTCTAATCAGATCATCTGAAAGCTCATCACCAAGAGAAACAGAAGTCATCTTTGTGTGGTCAAGGTGACTTTACAAGCACATTTAAGGCACTGAAAAGAAATCAAAGATGCTTTTTGCTGAAGCCTTGAGTACTTTGC